TGCACTTTAAATATGGATTGCTCGAATAAGTTCAAATAAAATTCAGAGCATTGCTTGTCTCTCATCGACAAACTTCGTTAATTATTTAGAAGGTAACTGCACGCAATTAAAAAAACAAATTTCCCTTTGACAGCTAGCTTAAAAGGCAGAATTTCACAAAAGTATATAAGAGAAATTGGCATTTTAAAGGTTTATTATACCTTATCCCATAGCCAAGTATACAGTCAATCCATTACCATTGTTCAGGTGTAAAGACATAAAGACAACAACAAAATTGTTTGGATAATAGTGTTTATAACTTTGAAAAAGGATTTTATTTTTCAACTCAAGATAAATAGTGAATTGAATGCTATTGACACTTTAATTACTTTTTGCAACTTTATAAGAATATTATTTCGAAGAACTTAAAAATATATGTGAAAAAAAAACACCAGCCCCCCTCCCGATAAAACATGAATGGTCCCTTACACTTGAACAATGATAATGGAATGGTCTGTAGGTTTAGCATGGAAGACGCAGATCACTAGCTATTGAATTGCTTTATAATATCTATCATCGGGAATTAAACAAACAACAGCAACAACAAAAACAAAAACAAACGAACAAGAACAATTGCAAGTAAATAGTTCTTTCTCATTCATTTATTTCCAAACATTTTTATTTTTCTAACGCTCCAAATATTCTAGATCCCTCAGTATTCCAATCGCGGCATTTTGGAGAAGCTTTCATTCCTCAATGTCGCCAGGTTTTGGTCCTTTTTGGTCGCCTGAAGCTAACGAAACCATGATTATGAACACACTAGAAATAAAATCTAATAACATGTATTTTCATTGTTCTTACCACTGCCTTGCTCTTGATCCTCGGGAGATGGGACATAGTCGAATTCACTTTCTCCATTATCTGAAAATAATCATATTTATGTCATCCCTTTGGTAAAGCATTTGAAAAAAAAAATTTTTCTATGATTCATAAAACTCCTGACTGCGATTTTCCGAAAAACAAAAATATGGCGAAAGATATATATACCTGCCCCCCTTTAAATTACAACTAAACTATAACAGACGCGTCTTTTAAAATTAAAATTTAAATTAAAATGTATTTTCTACTTACTATTATACATTTTTTAAGTCTGTTCATAAGCCATAAAGTCCAGTAACGAGCAATTGTACCCAAACATATGACAAAAGTTGGTATCGCTTGGACTTACCATTGCATTTGTACATGATTTTCGTCTGTTCGATATCACCAGCGCTCAAACCATCCCTCTGACCAATCTCAACATTTTTTTTCTTTGGTTGCAATACAACTGCTCCTGGTCTATTGTTGCCTTGGTAACGAGAGTAGTGCATGATGCTAGCATAGTCGTAGATTTTGCCTCGATAGTCAACGAATTTTTTGCTTGCTATTTCAAAATTTGTTTTAAAGTCTGTTGAATCATAAAATATAGATAAAGTCAGATCGATTGAGATAAAATTAATACAAATACTCCAGTTTTGAATCCATAGCAAAAAAACCGCTGCTTTATTTGACAACAGATTGTCTTGCGCAAAGACCTGACCAAACGCAACGAGAGCACCAGAAAATGTCGTTATTGCAATAGCCTTGAAAATTTGGATTTTCCCCGAGTTGAGAATAATTCTGTATTCCCTTCTGGGAGTGCAGGGTTAGCCTCAACTCGGGGAAAATGTAAATTGTTAGCGCTGCTGTAATAATAACATTTTCTCGTGCTATCTTTTGTGTTTGGTAAGTTCTTTGCGTGAGAGAATCTGCTGTCAAATAAAATAGCGGTTATTTGCTTTGAATTCGAAATTGGAGTATTGAGATCCGGTAAAACAAGCAGGCAAAAAGTGAGCATCGCTTTCCAACTTGTAAACTAGTTAGCAGTAAACCCAAATTGAGGCAATGTTGCTATATTGTATAATGCATTGAAAATATAATAGGCTATATGAGATTGTAGCTAAAAACAATAAGTAACATTTTTAAAACTAAGAAAATGTATATTATATGCATAAAGATTCCTTACAAATGATGTAAATGCGTCTCCATTTGGTCTACAAAACAATTGAATGTAGTTCCCTAAGGAACAAACGTCATTTGTTCTGTCTTCCAGGAGCTTCTTTGATGTCAAACGTAAGGGGGCTATTAGATCATACTTTTCCTTGGTTTCATGTTTTTCCAGTTGACGGTAACGTACTGGTTACGATCTGGACGGGCATGTTCGTGCATGAAACCAATTGCGTGACCAATTCCGTGGATTGTGGAGCCCAATTTGCAGCGACTGTAAGTGCGGGAAAAAAGTAAATAAACACGTTTTTCACCGCTTTTGCGCCTGTATAACGAGCGTGCTGACCGGCTCAATAGAGAGGAAAGTGCAAGCATTGTAAACACACAATTTAGATACCAATTGCGTGGCCGATTTCGTGTGGATTGTGGAGCCCAATTTGCAGCGACTGTAAGTGCAAGTGAAAAAGTGAATAAGTAAACGACAGTTTTTACCGCTTTTGCGCATGTTTAACAAGCGCACTGTACGGTTCATTAGAGAGGAAAGTGCAAGCAATTGTATACACAGTTTACATAAAGGCGTATCACAAGTTCGTTCTTGAAACCTTTTTTTTATTTTCCTGGTTTATGTCCTTGGTACATGTGTCTATTTTTAATGCAGTAAATATCTATGATTACTTAGTACAGCTAAAAACGCTTTGAATATGATCCATTGATTTATTGCTACAGGGACGGATCCAGGGGAGGTGCTTTGGGTGCGGACGCACACCCCCTTTTCGAACATTCGAACGTCATTTTTTTATATATTTGGATCCGCCCCTGTGCTAGCAACCATCTTCTTTCAAATTACCAGCATAGGTTATCTAACGGTCATTCATTGTAAATTGACTGATGTGTGTGGGTCAACCATACGAAACTGATCTGTAGCAATAAATCAGTGGATCATATTCAAAGCTCAGTATTTTATGTATAAATTGCTCCTTAAGTTGAGCACTATGAAAAATTATTCTTCAATATTAAGTTTGTGTTTTTGATTACTTAGTATTAATTATTCATTGGTCTCACTTTGTATTAAACAACATAGCAATTAATAACTACGCAAAATAAGTCATACACTCACTCTGACTTTTCCCCAATTGAAATAAGTCGAGGGGATTCCTGGCCGTATTCAACTTTCGCCATGCATTCTCTGAACGATAGTGAAATTAAAAATTAAAATTATGAAAGTCTTCTGCGGCATCTTGAAAAGCCATAGCCGAGACCCGCGCGTAAGCTGAGGGGAGTTCAACAAGCTAGCTTACTGAAAGGCCCGTTGTTTCCCTTTTTCTTTTCTTTTTTTTGTTCTATTCAAAAAATTCTTTTGTTATGAACTGTTTTTGAGTAATTTCTAATGAACTGCTCATACTAGCAGCCAGTTCTTACACACTATACTGTGCATAGAACTAATTTAGTTTAATTTAATTTAATTTAATTTAGGTCCGCATTATGAAAAAAACGAACCCCCTTCCAACACCCCCCCACCCCTTTACCCCTCCTTCTTCCCCATCCCATTTGTAAGGCAGGCTACGGGCCTGGATACAATGATATTATTACTCGTATACTTTGTTTTTCTTGTCTCGATCAATAACAAGCTTCACTATGACGGTAATGCATTTCTTCAATTAAACTCGTTGCAAAATGGCAGTTTTAAACTGAATTTAAATTGATTTGCTTTTCGCTGAAGTATTAGGCTATACGGGGTTGGTATCAGTCCGCACTCTGGAACCGCGAACTGCCATACAACGACCAGCAATACATTTCGGTCTTGGAATTCACTATCCAGTATCGGTATTCGGCATTCAACGTTTTCTGAAATATCTGTAACTGGTCAATTCGCTAAATGAAAATGTGGTGGAAAATATGGTGAATCAACCTAATATAATCCACCTGTAATCGAGCTACGTTGTTTGCACTTTTAAAAGCTCACGTACCCAGCATACTCAAATTCAACATAGACCTTTTCATTAGTTCTTTTTTTGAATTTCAGACAGGTTTTTTCCATCCAGTGATTCATAGCATCCTTGGCAAGCTTTTCTCCGGCAGCATCTAATAGCACTTCTACTTGTCAACATATAACAATACATGCTTTCCTAAGTTTTTTGGCTTCTTACTTATGAATAGGAACTATGATGGAAACGAGCGGTAAACTTTACTCCGACGAGGGATTAACGTCCTAAACGTCAGTTTCAATTTTTTACGGTGTTGAATTTATCTTTTTACACAATGCAACTGTTTCAATAGGAACTATGAACTACCATCCACAAATTCCAAAATTATCATTTTTACATCAAATTCTCATTTAAATTGAGTGAGCAGTTTATAAATTAATTTCCGGAGGATAATTAATTTGACCATAATTACTTTTTAACTTCTTTTTTGATCTTATCTAACATTGCCCTCCCCTCTCATCCCAAAATTCACTTCACTAGTGTAAAATTGTAAGAGGATGAGCCGACGGGTTCCTGGAAGAAATGACTCAGCCAGCTGTAAGTCACAACTGGTTGCCAGCGAGGAATTCAGGAAAAAAGAACTCTCAAGGGAAGGGACGCTTTCTAAGAATTTTTTGCCAAAAAATATAAATTTCCTAACTAAAAAAATTTTTATGCAGTTTCTGATGGCATAAAAACGTTATATAAGCCTTTTTGACCTTAAAAACGTTTGCCAGGAACAAAATCATTTCAAAGAAGGAAGGGCGGCACATGTTTGTGTCAACAAAGTAGCTAAAACTCCCTTTCCCTGGAACAAATTCGTTCAAGAACAGTTATTTAGGAGAAAAGATCCTATCGACTCCTCCTGAAATTGAATAGCCGATTTTTAATTTGATCCGGCTACGTAGTCAAACACAAACGAATCACGACGAAGAGCTGTGCATATAGCTCAAACACTCGTGAAATACTATTGTCTTTCCACGAAAATGACTGCAAAGGTCTAGATCTATGCATAGCGCCTCGTCTTGATTCCTTTTTGTGTGACTAGAAAATGGCAAACGTCGTCGTTTGCTATTGGAATTGAAAGAAAAATAACTGAAAATTATCACTTTTCTTTACGGAAACCAATCCCTTGGACGCTGATGTAACATAACGATCACCAGAATTAGAAAATAATAGCAACAAAATATACGAGCTTACCTGATCGCCTATCGGACTTCATCTAATGAATATTCTTATTTTGCTTCGATGACCTTTATAGTGTAGTTGGTGACCATATAGTCATGTATGTCTATCATTAGGGACCGCGAAATAATTATCAGGGAGGCTGGCTGGGCATCCAGAGGGGGGAGCATAGTTATAACATTCATGTTAAATCAATGAAATCTCATTAACACGGATCGAGTGATGTAAAATAACTCACAACACTCCCCGATAATTATTGCATATGCTCTGAATTCTCGATTGTTGGCTTCCCTGTTTTTCTTCCTCTTTGTTTCTTAAGACCATCAGGTGACCCCTTGACATAACAGCGTGTCTTCTGCTGTTTGTTATTTGCATGAAACTCCTAACAATTTCCCTATTTCCCTTTGTAAGCGGATGTCATGATGTCGCACTTTGATTCAATATTTTATTCAGAGATGTATATGTAACAAATGTTCTGTGTAAGCATGAAGACTGAAACAATAACATTAAAAATTCTTTTTTTTTTTTCTTTATTCGAGTTTTTTCGTTATTCTCTTTGGAAATTGCATTAGTGGCCATTGGCGACTCAGACCATCTTTATACTGGTACTTAATGGTCCATTTCATTTCATTAATTATTTCTTTCTTTTCGCTAACAATTTTGATTTGCATCGTCTGGTTGAACTTAAAACGTCTGAAATTTGGGGCTCTTATTACACACGAGTCTAGAGATTTTGTATCCACAAATATTTTTATTGTATGGGATACATTTTTTTTTAAATCAAAAACCCGCATTGCAGCCAGTTGTAATTTTGGAGTTAAAGTGTTTGGATTTGAACGAGACATCATAATATTATCCTTGTAAGGTCATTATCTCTTCATGAACATCGAGTTTAGTTAGTCTGATCAAGTGATGAGCCTAAAATCTCAATTATAATGACTGTTTATATAGCCTTGTACTTTGCTATTAATGTAAAAGACAAGATATACAGCTATTTCAAAAAACGTTGTCGGGGAAAACGGCGAAGGGAGATTGCAAGACCGAAAGGGACTATGGTTACAGTGTTTTGCAGCCATTGAATTGTTTTATAATATTCATCATCGAGGAATTAAACAAACAAAAAAACAACAAAAACAAAAACAGCAAAACGAACGAACAAGAACAACGTAAGTAAATAGTTGTTATTTATTTATAATATTCATCATCGAGGAATTAAACAAGCAATACACAAACAACAACAACAAAAAACAGCAAAATAAACGAACAAAAAATAATTGCAAGTAAATAGTTCTTTCTTATTCATTTATTTCCAAACATTTTTCTAACGCTCCAAACATTCTAGATCCCTTAGTTTTGTAATCGTAGCATTTTAAGAAGATTTCATGCCTCAATTTCGCCAGGTTTTGGTCCTTTTTGGTCGCCTGAAGCTAAACAAACATATATTACGAACACACCAGCAATATAATCTAATAATTAACTATTAGACCTCG